CAGGTTGGAAGATAGAGTTCAGGAAATATCCAAACAAGCAGAGCAAAAGGACAAAGAGATGGAAAATAGGAGAGAAAAGACAAAAACATTAGAAAACTGGTCCAGGAGATACAATGTCCAAGTAACTGGAGTTCCAGAAGGAGAGAAGAGAGAAACTGCAAGGAAGGAAATTATTAATGAATTAATTTAAGAAAATTTCCTAGAAGTGAAGGGCCCAGATTCAAAGGGCCCACCAAATGCCTGGTACAGTGGATGAAAATCTACATCAGGTTGATCATTGTAATTTCACAACACTAGGATCACATTGAAAATGTTATAAATTTCCACATAGGAAAAAAGAGAAAAAAGGCATAGAAAGGATAATAATCAGAATAGCTTTGGACTTCTCAGTAGCAACTTAAGAAGCTGAGCACAATGCAAAAACGTCTTCAAAATTCTGAAAGAAATTGATTTACATAATAAAAGATTTACAGCCAAACCATCAATCATGTATGGGGACAAATAAAAGAAGTTTTCAGATGCATGATGTCTCAAAATTTTTACCACTTTAGTTAAGAAGTTACTGGAGAAACTGCTCATTGAGAAACCAATAAAGACAAGATGTGGGAGTGTAGCCAGGAGAGAGATGAAGAAAAAATCTCTAGGAAGATGTTGAAGGTAGATCCCACGATGAGAGCAGTGGACTAGATATAGAAGACAGCCAGTTCAGATTGGAGCAGTGCAACTCAAGAGATAAACATACTGAGGGCCATTATCTCCAAGATCCCCCTTGCATTCACCTTCTTTTTAGCTGAGAACAGAATTCCCCCATGGGCCTTGCCCAGATTCTTTTTGTACTTGGCTTAAGACGTTCCTATTCTCCCTCCAAGAAATCCAAATATGTGTTGCATTGGGTAAATCTGCAGCAAAAGACCTCTTTAAAGTGTCGAAAAGTAAAGATGTCACCTTGAAGACCAAGGTGCACCTGACCCAAGCCCTGGTTATTTTCAATGGCATCATATGCATGTGAAAGCTGGACAGTGAATAAGAAGACCGAAGAATTGATGCCTTTGAATTGTGGTGTTGGCGAAGAATATTGAATATACCATGGACTGCCAAAAGGATGAACAAATCTGTCTTGGATGAAGTACAACCAGTATGCTCCTCAGAAACAAGGATGGCGAGACTACGTCTTACATACTTTGGACATGTTGTCAGGAGGGATCAATTCCTGGAGAAGGACATCACACTTGGTAAAGCAGAGGGTCAGCGAAAAAGAGGAAGATCCTCAATGAGAGGGACTGACACAGTGGCTGCAACAATGGGCTCAAGCGCAACGATTGTGAGGATGGCGCAGGACCAGGCAGTGTTTCGTTCTGTAGTACACAGGGTTGCTATGAGTTGGAACCGACTTGATGGCACATAACAACATTCTCCCTTCATGCTTCTACTTCACCCCACAGATCTCTGCTTTGACCTACTCTGAGAGCTAGAGGTAGCCACAGGTAGAGAAGCAGAAAACACAGAGCAGTGCACTCTCTCTGGCCATATTTCTGCCAAACACCCAGTGTCTGTTCTAGATGCCCAGATTATAGTGAGGACTCCCTCAGGACCTTGCTCAATGTTCTCCCTAAAAGGGACTTTTGCAAAATCCCAAGGAATCTGAAGCCAGATCATGACCCATAGATTCTTTTCAGTTTCTTTTCCTTTGGAAGCCTTTATCTGATAGTGCAATGTCACCCTTTCCTTACACAGGAAGCTTTGTGCTTGTTATTCAGTTTATTTTTAACTAACGATTATGTTTAGGGATGCAGACATGGTGGTAAATCTATAAATAAAATTTTATAAAACCCATAAAATAAAAACAAAATGTAAAACACAATCTATAAACTGCATCTGATTAACATAAGAGTCAGAGTTGTATTTATTTTTTGGGAGGGGAAAAAGCGAAAACCAAACCTGTTGCCGGCAAGTCGATTCCAGCTCATGGCGACCTCATGTGTTACAGAATAGAACTGCTCCATAGGGTGTCGTGGATTGAATGATGTGCCCCCAAAAACGTGTCTATCAGTTTGACTGGGCTATGATTCCGGGTATCGTGTGATTTTCCTATAGGTTGTAAATCCTGCCTCTATGATGTTAATGAGGGTCGATGGGTGGCAGTTGTGTTAGTAAGGCAGGACTCAATCTACAAGATTGGATTGTGTCCTGAGGCAATCTCTTGAGATATAAAACAGAGAAGTGAGCACAGAGACAGGGGGACCTCTTACCACCAAGAAAGAAGCACCAGGAGCAAAGCACGTCCTTTGGACCCGAGGTTCCTGCGCAGAGAAGCTCCTAGTCCGGGGGAACATGGATGAGAAGGCTGACAGAGAGAAAGCCTTCCCCTGGAGCTGACACCCTGAATCTGGACTTTTAGCCTACTTTACTGTGAGGAAATAAACTTCTCTTTGTTAAAGCCATCCACTTGTGGTATTTCTGTTGTAGCAGCACTAGATGACTAAGACATAGGGTTTTCTTGGCTGTAATCCTTACAGGGAGCCCTGGCGGCATTATGGTTAAGAGATGGGCTGCTAATCAAAAGGTCAGCAGTTCAAATTGATGGCAGAGGGTTTGGTTTTGGGTTTTAATCTTTACAGAAGCAGACAGTCAGGCTTTTTTTCATGGCACTGTGGAGGGAAAGAGAAATGAAATTGGGGAGGGACAAAGAAGGGTTTCTAAGTTAACTGAATGTTCTACTTCTTAATCTGAGTGATGCGTACATGTGTATTTATTCTTTAACCTGTCCATGTAAATACTGTATGTATTTTGTGTGCACCATATATTTCAAATAATCTGTATTTCACAGTAGTTTTTAATTTAAAAATTAACAAAAAGTATCTTTTTATTCAAATGTTACTGACTGAATGTTGGATTGACAGAAAGATTTTGGTTTTGATTTTAATAGAGCTTGTAAAATGAAAGTGGTTGGAATATATTGATAGTCGGAGAGTAAAGAGCCAATAGGGAAAAAGAGGTTTAAGATAAGTTGGGTAGATAAAGAGGTACAGACTGGTAAAAAGCTAAAGATACGTGTCAAGTAGTAGTTAGCAATGGGGTGAAAACAGAGAAGTGCAAACTGAGAGAATTCCTAGGTAATTTGTGAAGGATACTGAGTTTCTAGATTTACCTTACATTACACCGAATTATTTAAATCCAGCCTTGAGCCAATTTCTGAAATGAGATGCTTTATATTAACTGATGTAGCACTATAACCTGTGGTGTTAAATAAATAAACATATCTGAATTTGACCTGCCATCTTTCTCACCTCTCTACTCTCTCTAGGCCTTGATGACCCTCCATTAAGCTCATATTTTTAACATTGCCATTTAAGTAGAAATGCCTTGCCCTCACAAGAATATAAGCAAATGTTTTCCAATAGATTAGTGATAGTACAATTAAATTCAGAGATTACCAAACATGTTGAGACTATGTTTTCCTTTATACAATACTCTTCCTGGAAATTAGTCATTTTTAGAAACTACATTATATATTTCACTGAATCTAACAGGCCATAGGAGTATCATTCAGTATATAACTCTAGGGAGGTCATTACAATTTAGCAGTTCTAATTCATGGATAAGTGTTAATTCTGCCTACTAAAGATAAGAATAGAAATTGTGTTCATTGTGATTTAAACCTCGTGACTAAAAATGTTTACTATTTTTGTGTAGCTGTATTTGCTGGAAATGGAGAAAAGAATATTAATATTCATGAATATTTTACCTTGGACCATGTAATAGTGCACTTAAAAGTTAAGTTCAACCCTTGAAAAACAGCATCTATATGTGATTCAGACTCTAGAACAGAAGAAAGGAATAGAGGAAAAAGATGTGGATTTGAATTCTCCAGTCTCTCAAAATGAAGGCTCCAACTTAAAAGTTTTCTATAAAACAAAATGGAGATGCTCAAAATGGGTAGGTGTCTTAATGAGGAAAATATTACATTCTTGATACATCACTTGATGGCCTTCTTTTAGTGAGAACGTTTCAGAACAAGCTTCCCTGACCATATTCAACATGACTGGGAAAATAATGGTAATTGTTTCTGCTCAATGAAAATTTCTGTGGAAGAGAAAATGCTACAGAGGGATTAAATGAAAGGGTGATGTGTTTGATTGGGCTTCTTAGAAGGCTCTACCCCACACCCATACCAGTTGCCGTGGAGTCAAATCTGACTCAACGGTGACCCTACATGTGTCAGAGTAGAACTGTGCTCCATAGGGTTTTCAATGGCTCATCTTTCAGAAGTAGATTGCCAGGCTTTTCTTCTGAAGTGCCTCTGGGTGAACTCAAGCCTCCACCCTTTAAAGGTCAGCAGCCGAGCACATTAACCATCTGCACCACCTAGGGATTCCTTAGAAAGAGCCTGAGAAAGGGATTCCTGTGGAGCTGCTTTACTGAGGGAGTGCTGCTCAGACAAACCTTGTAAGGCAGTGAAGGAAGCAGGAAATGAGAGTAGTACAGGCCTGATGTGGATGAAACTGAAGTTCATCTTCAGCCGGATCGCCCAGGGCTCTGGGGAGAGAATGTCACGGCAGACTTGTCTCAACTGAGGCAAGAAGACTGGTCTTGGGTACCCTTTGGAGTGGAACCACTAGCGGGGAGGCTTAAGCTTCCAGGTGTCGCCAGGTGTGACAGCTCGAGTTGGTCAAGGACAAGTCTCAGTACAAATGTGCTGCTATAAGCTCTTAGCAGCCACCACTCCACTGCGGGGGGGTGGGGGGGGCACACCAGTCTAGTAAAGTGGATATGGGCAGGTGACGAACAGTTGACTACAGGTAATATTTTTGTGTGTTTTTTATCCTTATCCCTCACCATTTACTTTAGTTGCATATTTTGACTCCAGAACATTATGATAACAGTCACTAATAAATGTTTTTAAAAACTGGGTTCTAATATTTAAATATCTTTTATTTAGCATCTAGGTTCACCTTAAAGTTCATGCTGAGAACAAGTCTAAATATGAGGTGGTATGTTCTCTAGCAGACCTTGCCACACACACAAAAAGGAAGGAAATGTTAATTTAAATCGTTTTTTTATTCGTTCATAGATTTTAACAACTATACACAACTTTTAACACAAAGATAGTGAAATATCAAGAATAAGGAGGCAATATATACGACCTCTTCTATTCGTTCTTCAGGATGAAAGCAAATTTTCAAAGGGTACAATGTATGAGATTCAACCCTGGAAAAACACATACGAAACTTGTTTAACTGGCTCCACTTAGGACCAGGCACAGCACAATAAATATACAATTGCATCATCTTTTTAAAAGATTGTTTTAACTGTAACACATTCTTATTAAAGAAATATGATCAGTGCCCTAATCTGAAATTCTACAACACTGAGGTGAAGGGACACTTACAATGGATAGCTGAGCAGTTTCTCTAGCATCTTCACATTCACACTTCAACATTCTGAAAAGGAGTTAAGAATGGACACTGCAAACTCAGAATAACAAAAAAAAAACTTGGTCAAACTTTCTTCATCATATCATTCATTACTATTGCAATCCTAGTATGCTGGTAGGTTTAAGGTAGGAATAGAGATTTTGAAATCCTTTTACTTTCCACCAGTCATAGGGCCTCCGGTAGGAAGAAGCCACCCTAGAAGCAAACTGATTAAGCAGCATCATTAAGTCTACATCTCAACATATCATTGCATAATTTTTATCTGCCAATATTTGGAGGGGTTAAAAAAAGTTTCATGGAAGAATACCTTTCCTGAATAGCAGGCCACTGTAAGAACATGCAATCCGCAAGGATTTAAAGGAAACTATAGCTGAATTCTCTACTGATTACATCTTTCCCTCATAGGCCAAGAGAAATGTATTACCTAAACATTTTAATAACTACATATTGTGGCATCAAATTCTCTATCTATACTATTACACTTGGGTATTGGAGATTGTTACAACGTCCACACACTCTCTCCTCTTCCCAGGGAGGAAGAGATGGTGCACAAGTACTATTGGTCAGAAAGAGCTCCTGGGAAGTGCTCTGCAGTGTGCCTTATCACACACACAGGTACCATTATCTTTAAACAAATACCGAAAAGGCAGGATGAAATGATCTTTTTCACATGACACAGATCCTGTTTTCATAACAAGAACATTCCATCACCATTAACCACAATGGAAATTGCTCTGCTGCTGTGGCTACCGATACTTTGAAAAATCTTTTGAGCTAGTGAATGAAAAGGTACATGAAACAAGGTATTTCTGTAATTGGTAAACTGGTCAGTTAAAAATTCGACAAACGACACATCTCATTATTTTGTGAAAATAGAATGCTACCATGGCCCCAAGAATCACTACAGACCAGCTGGCCTGGAAAGGTGCATGCAGCTTTAACCACTATGAAACATCTTCTCTGTGGCATTTTAATGTCAATCACTGTCACACGGCTCTCAGAAGCCTAAGCTTCTAAGATGTCTGAGGATAAAAAACGGTGTGATATGGATCAAGTTTTCAGTGATTGTTTTAAATTTAACTTTAAAAAGAACTTACTAGTAATGTAGTATAATAGTCCTTGATACTGAATTTCTCCTAGTGAAATAAAACACATTTTAACAAGATGATGATAAACTAAGTTTGGCTGCCTGCCTCCTTTTTCACTTTTTTTAGGGGGTACTGATTCATTAATTGTGCTGGGCCTCACAACTGTGTTTTAAAAACAGTAAAGTTCCCAACACTTCCCTGAAAATATTCCTGATTCATACTGGGAAATCAATGTGTAATTGGAATATTAATCATTCATGTTTTAAAAAGGAAATACTTCCTACAAAGCAGTTACTTAGCAAATGCTAAGCTGCAAATCACCTTACTATACAGACGCTGAGTCCTTTCAAAGACTAGCTAGCCTTCCATTCTAAATCCATTGCAAATAGAGTACATGCAGTAGTCCTGTTTACAATTTAATGGAGATGAGGAAAGGGCAAACCTAGGAAATGGTTATGTCACCCTACATGACAGGTTACAGCAGTGTAGCCATTGTATATGTAATTACTACATTCACCACTTCAGATAAAGAATCAGGGAGGCCTTTCAAACACTGAGACAAAGGAATGTTTGTTTTATATAAGACCTACCAAATAAAAAGAGAAGCAAATGATAATGCACATAGGCACCAGTCTCAAAGCTGCACTATAGAGAAGCAAATGGTTTGAGATGAGAATTTAGGAAAATACATATGAGCTTGCTGAAGACAAGGAGGAAAGAAGTCACAGTTCTAATCTTCAAGGCTACGGAATGCATTCTGCATATCTTCAAGAAGTTGTGCGTAGTCTCCCTTGATCTTTGTCTCGCCATCTTTCACTGGATCCTAAAAAAAGACATTATAGGTTTCAATTTACCTTTGGAAAGCAATTTTTGGAACGTGTAGTAGCTAACATGCTTAATATAGTCTGAGCACCAGGTTAAGTGAGGCACAGGTAAACCACAGACAGGAGTAAAAATTATCCTTATTTTCCTTTTTTTTTCTTTAAGGCTAGAAATGTATAAATGAAGTAATACTCCAAGCAGACAGAAAGAAAACAAAATTCCAATTTTTTATTTTGCCTGCAAAGTGTATTCAAAGCCCAGTGACTTTACACTCAACAATGTGTACAATATTTGAAAGTTCCCAGCATCCCAAATTAGATACACGCCACTGCACATGATACTGGGAAGGAGCTATTAACTATTCAATGTCTGGTGGTGTCGCGCTGGACAGGGAAGTGAAGTTTGTAAAATAATCTTAAAATGCACCTCATCTAAAATCCTTATGGAAAGCAATAAAGTAATACGCATGAAAGAGACTTTAATGTGGTTAAGCTCTCTGACCAAATCATCCCACACCTGGGAATTTATACAAGGAAAGTACCAAAATCAATTACATAGTATGCACACTAAGTTGTACAAACCAACAACTGGAAATTTCCGAAATGCCTAAGAATAGGAAACACTACTCTTCAGCAGCAAAATAATTCTGCAGTAGAATATTTAACACCATAAAAAATTCCTGTGATATGTTAACTTGATACAATGGGTGTGTAAATGTAAGAAAGATATCACCTCCAATCACACTGTCAGAAATCATCACTTTTATATTATTATTGGTGTATTTTTTCTTATCCTCTTCCTATGAATACACACACAAACAAAATTTAGATCAAATTACACACAGAATTTTTCTGAATGCTGACTTTTTTCTCACTCATTATACCATTTCCCCATATCTTTAGGTCCTTGTCAAAAAAAAGATGCTGATGTCTTCATAATATTCTACTTATGGACATGCCATGTGTATCGTAGGCTCTGTTCACACCTGTATGACACTTAAAGATATTTAATAAGCAACTTTTTACATATATCCATCTAAAAAATCTCTAACTACTTCCTTGGGTTATATGCCTTGAAGTGAAATGACTGGACTCAAAGGGTATGAATATTTTTAAATTTTTGATACAGTGTCTATTTGTGCAGGTTTACTTTCAACCTAAAGTATAAACAAACTGTAAATATTTTTTTCAATATTACACTACATACACACTCAGAGTATCATTCTCAATAGGTAATTAGTAAATATGCCTAGATGTCAGGACTTAGAAATAATTAAATACAATTCAACTGATCAACTGTTTTAAAAACAATCTTATACATTTGAGTTTCTACTGATAATTTCACTCAAGTGTCTACTTACATCTGGCTTACTTCTAAAAGAATGAGAGGCCACTTAAAAGTTAAATATGGTGTGAAACAGGATAATTAAAAGAAGTAAACAGCACAGACGTCACTTCAGAAGAGCATGGGGGATATGTGTTAATAGGCACTTCAGGTAAAGTAATTACTGCTCAGCAATGAACTTAGTTCTGAATTTCCCAGTAGCTATGACAAAAAGGGAACACACGTCAACACTTATTTTAGATGTGGCACGCTATAATTTTTATCATTAGAATTCCTACTTGGGCATGATTTTAAGGCATGGTTTGGTTTTACAGAAACCGAGCAGGAGTGCAAATGATAAATGCAAGTTTCATACACCATGCTTGGGACTCAGTCAGAAAAAAGAAACATTTCCTACTAAAGAAAGTCACAGTAGAAATAAAACACACCTTGAATTTCATGGAGGAAAGTTTATAGAGGATCTCCCCCATGTGCTCACGGATAATGGACCATGTGACTTTATTGTCACTCTGGGCAGTGGTTTCAACAGCTCTACGGGCCATATCATAAAACGCAATCATGTTGGACAGCATTCCTACTGTCTTGTAGAATGGGCAGAACCTAGGGTAAATGAAGGTCAATTAACAAAAACAAAATTCTAAGCAGGCTCATACTTTACGTAAAACTTTATAAACTATCAAAGAATTAGTTTCTTTATTCAATACGCAGACTTCTTATATTTATTGGATAATACAGAAGGAATAAAAAAATAGGAAATACTAATAACTAGTTGGAATTTTTAGACAGAGAAGTCTCAGTACATAGAATGTATGTATGGAGATACATATTTTTTATTTACTTAAAGTGTTAATATTTCTTTTTTGCTGCTAAAAATATCAAACACATGAACACTAAAGTAACATTGCTACAATCTAATGACTCTCTGAGGGTCTGCTTTGGTACAACACAGTTAAAAGAGTAACCCAAATGGTAAAATAACTGGATGGTAAAGACTCTCTTGTGCTACTGAGTTACAGTGAATAAGGAAAAAAAACAATAACTGTAATTTCCAAAAGTTAACAGTAGCTCCTTTCCCCATTTACCCATAAACTCAAAAACCCCTGCCACTGAGTCATAGCGACCCTACAGCATTCAATGACACCCAAGCACACATATTCAACTTGGATCACATGCATTCTTACCCAAATGTGTCTGACACATTTAAACACATCTGTATACACAACGTAATGTATAATCCCTATCACACCTCTTCCAAAAAGCCTTCCCTTTGTTGAGATATCTTTGTGCGGGTGGTTCCTAGAGCTTAAGTTCCTGATACAGATTTCTGAGCCTTGCCAATATACTGTTATATTTTCTGATTGCTCTACATTTTGGCAATCCTTCTATTTTTCGGTCCCTTCTTCTGTCTTAAACGAGGCCAAATATGATTCGAGGGAGAAGAGCTAGTCCATAATGAAAGGGCTCAAACTCTCAAAGTTTAAAAGAAATGAGAAGGGTAGTAGCAGAGATAGTAATGAAAAGCAAGCCCCGAGCAGGAGTAACAGGGGCTGGCTGGGCATCTCACAGGGGCTTTGGTAGAAAGGAAGAGAAAGAGAACCCAAGAAATATGGCCGCAGAGTAGAAGAATTATTTAGGAAGAGAGACATAGGCGGTGGTTAGAGACAGTGAGAAATGCTTCTGAAGGGGGTAGTGATCTACAGGTTCTGGCACAATCTAAGCCACAATTTAATCTGATTACAGATGGTTGTAAAATGAGTGAAAATTATTATCTGTCATAACTGGACAAACGAGCAAAATCAAGATTCATAAAAAACCATACCTGGTGCTGTTAATTCCAACTCACAGCAACCCTACAAGACAGAGTAGAACTGCCCCACAGGGCTTCCAAGGATGCCGCATCTTTCTCCTATGGAGTGGCTGGTAGGTTAGAATCGCCAGCCTATCGTTTAGCAGCTAAGTGCTTTAATCACTGCACCACTAGGGTTCCTCAAAATCAAGACAAGGGGATATATAAGAGTCTTCATTAGCTGTCTGCTATTAATATAAAAAAATGAACCCTTACACTGAGTTAGAATGTGTCTGTACGAGGAAAAACGGTTTCAAGTGTGTAGGCAACTCCTTCCTCCAACACACGATACAAAATCTTCAAATAAAAAAATCAGTCTAGCTTACCTGTCATAAGGAGTATATCCATTTTGTTGTAGGAAGTCATCTTTAATAAGTTTTGCCACCTCCAGAGTGATTTTATCTGTTTCTGCTAAAGAAGCCTAGAAGATAAAAAATGTTATTTTGAGAAATATACTTCCAAAATGTAGGAGTGATGATAGTAATCTCTTAGGAAGCAGAGATTATAATCGATAATCATTTATCATTAATAAATTCTCTTCATAACTGCTTTTTGATTGATGTTCTTTTTTGAAACACTGTCTTCCTCATATCCTGGCTTGCTATCATGATTATCTGAATACTCAGTACTGAATCTGTTTTGGCAGAAGTCTATATAGCCCATATATAGTTAATTTTTTTTTTTAAACATTACCTGGTGCTTGTTGTTAGCTGCTGTTGTCAGCCCCTGACTCATGGCGACCCCGTGTATGACAGGATTGGACTGTGGTGATCCATAGGGTTTTCACTGGCAGATTTATGGAAGTAGATAGCCAGGCCTCTCTTCCTAGTCTGTCTTAGTCAGGAAGCTCCACTGAAACCTGTTCAGCATCACAGCAACACACAAGTCTCCAATGACAGAAGGGTGATGGCTGCACATGAGGTGCACTGGCCGCAAGTCAAAGCCAGGTCTCCCGCATGGAAGGTGTCTTAGTCACCTAGTGCTGCTATAACAGAAATACCACAAATGGATGGCTTTAACAAAGTGAAATTTATTCACTCACAGTCTAGTAGGCTAAAAGTCCAAACTCAGGGTGTCGGCTCCAGGGGAAGGCTTTCTCTCTCTCCTGGCTCTGGAGGACGGTCCTTCTCATCAATCTTCCCCTGGTCGAGGAGCTTCTCAGGTCCAGGGACCCTGGGTCCAAAGGACGCACTCTGCTCCAGTGCTTCTTTCTTGGTATGAGGTCCCGGACTCTCTGCTTGCTTCCCTTTCCTTTTATCTCTTGTAAGATAAAAGGTGGTGCAGGCCACACCCTAGGGAAACTCCCTTTACACTGAATCAGGGACGTGACCTTAGTAAGGGTGTTATACAGTCTCACCCTGATCCTCTTTAACATAAAATTACAATCACAAAATGGAGAACAACCACACAATACTGAGAATCATGGCCCAGCCAAATTGATACACACGTTTTTGGGGGGACATAATTCAATCCATGACGAACATGGTCATAAGTATGGTTTGTCTTAACTTGAGTATGTCATAAAGTTGAGAATTGATTCAACTTACTTAGTATAACTAAGATACAGAGCTTCACCATTTAAATAGCACTGCCTCAAAAGCTTTAACTTTTGCAATCACCCTACCATCATTAAGATAATACCACTGTTGCCAGGGTCACTAACAAGTTTGTGGAAAGGAAGAAGCCCAGAAAATTAACTAAAGTCTTATATACTCATGCACCACATTATAAATTTTCGGGCAAAGTCTGACCACATATACATCCATGGTCCCATAAGGTTCAGAAATACTGATTGGCAAACAGGATGTAGCAGACATTACACTCAAGAAACACTTCCAAACCGTGCAATGTTTTCATGAGCATCACAAAGGAGTACATGTCTTCGTCACCATGAATCATTTTTATGTATTTAACTCAAATTTTTAATACAACAGGCTTTATGGCAGTCTGTTAGGAGCCATCCATAAGTCAGATGTTCATAACCCAGGGAATGCCTTATATAATACGGTGCTCTCACAATGTCCAAATCATATAATGTCCTATTTCCCAGTATGTATTGTGGACATTAAGTGACATATGTATTCTCTATCTGTACTAAGTCCTTAAAGGTAAAGATCAGATCTTCTGTTTCATTTCTCCTCTTTTTTAAATCTCTTTTATTCTGATTCCCTCTCCAACCACAGAAAAATATTCAAATGTGTTTTATCCGTACCCTTTTGTTCCTATGAATTCACGTGAAACGTATATTTTATTTTACGCAAATATTTTTAATTATATAAGACATTCTGACTTGTGCCTTTGGCACTGTGTTTTTAAAAAAATCCGACCATGTTACAGTGTGTCATGCAGCTTCCAGCTCTTTTATACACAGTAAAACCTGTGAAGCTGGAACCTGTGCAAGGAGGAAACCTGTCAAGAGAAGGAAAACAAATATTTTCCACTAAAAAGAAAGACAAGTGGTAAGACTACATCCTGTCAGGGGCAGAAAACTTGCAAGACCGGAAAAAACAAGGCAGCCTGTCAAGTTCCAGCCTTCATAGGTTTCACTGTAGTTCATTTTCCATGGTGTGTATCTTTCATATTTTACTGTACATATTTTGCCCCAGTAAAGGGTACTCCTATTTCCTCTAACTCTCTGCTGCCACAAACACATCCCTTTAAGGGCCTGTTTCAGAAGTGGTACCACTAGGTCACAGGGTATACAAGCAAGTACAGGTAGTCCGTGCCTTACGAAGGGGTTCTGTTCCAGGAACTCTGTCATAAGTTGGTCTTGACGTCGTCGAATACCTCATTTTTTCCCTTAGTTTTCAGTATTTATTGTCTTTTATTATCAGTATCTTTATAAATTCGTCCTTTATTTGTTTTGGGGGATTGGAAACATTACACATAAACTTAGATATATTTTAATACCTACAGAAAAATAAATACATACATAAAAAAATATGCAAATCATAAAAATTTACTCCGACAATGAAGAGTTGGACGGCAATAACTACACTTTTGGAAGGTTCTGGATCATCTGTATTATCCCTGGGAGAGGGGATAACATTTCTAGTCAGAAAATTAGTGAGAAAAAGGACTGTATGGTTCTTTTCTTTTTTCCTTCATATATTTCACAGAAAACATCTCACTGCTTCCTGAATTTGCCTATCAACTTTAGCAAAGCGATCAGCATTTGGGTCCATGTTTTCAAGCAACAGAAGCCCCTGATTTAGTTTAGAAAAAACTCCAGCTAATCCTTCCACTGTAAAATTTTTTGACAATTTCTCTCCGTCCTCTTCCTCATTATCTTTTTCTTCTTCAGCATTTCTTTCCTCTTCAAAATCCATTACGTTCCGATCTGTCAATTCCCCATCTTTGCGATCTATGAGGTGCTCCACATCAGTGATACTTAAATACAGCGTTTTTGCCATATGGACAATTTTTCCACTGATCTCTTCTGTCATATCATCCTGATTAAATGCTTGGAGGATGCTCACAAAACTCAGCAATTTTCTCCATATCCCCGCACGCACTTTCCCCTAACTTCCTCGCAGGAAGCTGTAATGTTCCGGATACACTGACGGCTGTAAGTGCAGTTCATCATGACTTGAGTATGTTGTAAGTCGGGGACCACTTGTACTGTCGGACTGCGATCCACCATGGCAGCACTCCACGGCACTCCCCCAGGTACAACGGCTCCTCCATCTCCCGCAACACCTGGCATTATTGTGCTTTCTAACTTTTGTCGTTCTAACTAGTGTAACATGATATCATGTTCTTTCTAATTTGCATTCCTCTTTGGTATTACTAAGTTTAAGCATTTTTCCCCGTCTATCGGGTTTCCTCTTCTATATTCTTTTGTTCGTGTTTCTGTTGTGATTCCAGTCTTCTTGCTGACTTACGGGAATGAATTCCTTCTACATTTTAGGTATTAGTCATTTGTAGATGTTGCAAACTTTTCTCCTAATCTCTTACCTTTATCCATGGTAAAAAAATCTTTAATTTTTATGTCAGTAGAACAATATTATTTTCTTTTGTCTTATGGCTTGGGCTTAAAGTGATTTGCTGAAGCTCTTTCCCAACCCTAGGTCAAAAGATATTCTCCTATGTTGTCTTCTATTAACTTGAAAGTCCTACCTTTCACACTTAAATTGCTAATCCATCTGGAGTTTACCTCTGTATGTGGAAGTACGTAGCAATCATTTTATTTTTCTCCAAATAGTGAGCAGTCTTCCTACCATCATTGACTAAACAATTCATTGTCCCCTCACTCGATGCGTGGTACCATCTTTACAATATCAAGTGCCCACATATACAGGAGTCTGTTTCTGCTCTGTTCCACTGGTCTATTTCACCAATACCACACTGTTTGTATTACTATGGCTTTGTATTAATATCCAATAGGATCATCTTTTATTTCACTTATTAGTTTTTAAATGTTTTCCATAATGGAAACATATATTTTTAGTTAATACCTAAATTCTAGTTTTTGTTCTTATTTACTAATTGTTATTGCCATATACAGAAATACTATTGATTTTTTGTTATATTTATCCTGAATCTAGAATCCTCACAAAATAGCTTCTTTGTTAATCCTCTTGGTTGTTCTAGTTAGATAAGCACATTATCTTAAAATAATGACATTTTTATCACTTTCTTCAAGCTTTTCTTTCTTCGTTCCTTACAGTCTCGGTATTCTTTTGTTATTGGTATTGTATCGTCAGAAATGACAGCAAGCGTTCTTGTCTTAATCCTGCTTTTTAAAGGAACGTACCTGAAATTTCTGTATTAGGTAAAATATTTCCCTAAGTTTTGGTGTATTATTTTTAACAAATTGAGGTAGTTCCCTTCTATTCCATGTTTGCTAAGAAGTTTTAAAAATTATAAATAAGTATGAAACTTCAAATATTTTTTCTGCATTGGCTGAGATATCCTTTTCTCCATTACATTAATAGATTTTCTGTGCTGAATCATCTTTTCATTCCTGAGATAAACTCTACTTGCTTATTTTTAATACTCTACTCTGGATCTAGTAAGCTAATATTTTATTTACGATTTTCACACTTACATTCATAAACAAAATGAACCTATAATTTTCTTTTCTTATATTGTCTTTATCTGGTTTTGGGGGTCTTTTATTTCTTGCTCTTCTTATAGGACCACCTGATCAAAAACCAAACCTGTTACCGTTGAGTCGATTCCGACCCATAGTGACCTAAAAAGAGTAGAACTGGCCCATAGGGTTTCCAAGGAGCGGCTGGTGGATTCGAACTGCCAACCTTTTGGTTAGCAGCTGAGCTCTTAACCACTGTGCCACCAGGGCTCCTACAGGGCCACAGTACTCTATATGTAATTAGTATTTAATATATGCTACCTAATAATCTTACATTTTGTTGGAAAAAAGTAGGCGGTAATTTTACAAGCAATAATAAAAAGAGCAGAACCAGACAGGGAACGCCAGAGTCCTGACTAGCACTGTATACTGTCTTAGAAGTCATTCAATTCTGGAATACGATTTGGCCAAATTTAATTACGCTATCCTATGAAACATCAAGACACAGACACAAGAATGTAAGTCACTTGTTTAAGGTCACATAGTTAATTTCTAGGGAAACTGAAACTAGAATCCAATCGTTCTGATTCTTAGCCCTAGTGTCCCTACAAAAATGTATGTTAATAGATCCTAACTCTACCACCTCTAACGTGGTAGATTTCAATTTTAAGAAACAAAAATAAATCCAGTGTTTCTTATCTATAATATACCCAGCATTGCACTAAGTGCTGTAAAGGATTTAAAAACAAGAAGATAAGGACTTTAATAATTAGTTACTTATTTTAATGGCCATTCTCAAGTGCCAGCCCCTCCTTGAATCTGGGCAGGCTCTGACCAAAGGAGTAAGACAGACGGAAGCGACATTATGCTGGTTTTTGAGCCCAGGCTTAAGAGGCTAGCAGTTTCCTCTTCTTTTTAACACTCACTCTGGGAGCAGTGAACTGACATGTGGTGATAAGATGTGGACAGACAAACGCTGGCCATTCTCCAGCTTTCTCAGCCATCCCAGCCCAGGCTGCAGACATGAGTGAAGACACTTTCAGCAACTACAGCCTCAGCCAGCTTAAGACTGCAACTGTGTGAAGAGCCCCAAGCGAGAACCACCCAAAGGGTCCATCAACCCCAGAGCTGGCAGCAAGACATTGTTTTAAGCCACTAAGTGTTGGAGTGATTTGTCACTCAGCAATAGACAACCAAAACAATAATCATCTTTCTGTCTTCTATAATACAAGCAGGTCCCTGAAGTATGGGCTGAATGAAGAAATAATCTAAAACTCAATTAGTTTAAAAATATATTTGATGAATACTTACTTTTCTGGGCAAGAATCTACATATCCAGGGCTCTATCTGTTCTTACTACATTCTAGTATAACCCACAGATGTCTTCCCTATGGGATTGAACCACTCACCTTTCCCACAAGCTGTACAATTTCTGCCAGGTCTTCTTCTTCCTGCAGAATCTCCTTAGCTTTGGTCCTCAGAGGAACAAACTCTGTGAAGTGTTTGTCATAGTACTCATCCAAGGCACGCATGTACTTGCTGTAGCTGATTAGCCAATTGACAGAGGGGAAATGCTTGCGCTGAGCTAATTTCTTATCTAAGCCCCAAAATACCTGATTAAAAAAATAAATAACATATTTTTCTTAAAAAACAAAATAAAAACTTACTGAGGTATATTTGTTTATCCTAAATATGTCCAAAATATGTAATTCTATAATTTACTGGTTAAATTATATATATTTTTAAAACATACCCATTGTAATTAAAATAGAAATTGTCAATTAAAAAATGTTTTCTTTTCAGGGTGGGAAGTGCCTATGAATTAAATTCAAAATTTATCTCGATTCCTTTAATGGTAAGTCACACTGAGAGAAAAAACAAAAACTGGCTCCTCTGCAGATTACTACAGTGCAACAGAAAGAGATGAACCAGAGGGTGCCTACTGTGCTGACACAGGCCTTCTACTTTGGCTAAAAACCTCTAAATGTTCTCATAAAATCCAGTTCCCTATGATTAACCTCACTCTCTCCTTCGCCTGCAATTTAAAACTCAAAATTCTGGCCAATGTTGATGACTTCAAACTGTTTTGCTCCTCTCTTTTGCTTATACTCAAGATACACAAGAAACAGTAAGAATAAAACAATTTGTTTCATATCTTCAGAATTGTAAATTTAGCCTCACAGCACATATTGTTTTTCCCACATGAACAGTAACACATATTTTTATGACTATACCACTTTTGTTTTGACTATATTTCTATTTTTTATGCATCTTTTATTTAAACTTCTTTTAACTGCCAAGTTGGGTAACTGCTAAAATTCATACCTTGTTGCTGGGAAGCAGCTGCCTAGGCAGAAACTACATTTTCTAGCCTTGCTTGCACCTGGGTGTGGCCAATGAAATGAGTAGAAGGGCAATGTCACCTTTGGGCCCTAGGTTCAAGAAATGAGTATGTCTTCTCCACACCGTTCCCCTTCTGTCAGCCAGATGCAGGTGATTTCTAGACTAGGTGATCGTGGCACCATAAAATGGAAGGAGCCCTGGTCTCTGAATTACTTACTGAGTGAAGGAGATCCACTCTCTGATAGGATCATCGGCCTTGGACTATATCATGAGGAGAAATACTACTGGGTTTTTGTCATTATACATTTTTTTGATGTATTTTTTTCTATAACTAGGGTTACTCTAACCTAAAGGGTGGTATTACTCTAACACTAATAATCCCTTGCTTCTTCTGGATCTATTTTGTCCCCTTCCCACTTAACCCTTGGTAAAGAACTAAGAAAGAACATATAGTATTAAAAGCTCTTAGTGGTAAGAATGTTACTAAAAAAAAACCTTTACCATTGCCTACAATCACTCTATAATGATCAAGTTAAGTACTCATGATGATCTGTGCAACATTAGCAAGCCTAGCTGACGGCAGGGGGAAGGCTCAGAAGTTGATTAGACCATGGAAAGACATACCTGAACAATACCAAGAGTAGCAGATGTAACTGGATCAGAGAAATCACCACCAGGTGGAGAAACTCTGAATTAAGAAGAAAAGAAAAACAAAAACAGTCATTAGAAACGCCTATGAAAAATAACCTGGATGAAAAAGTCAATTTTTGATGAGGAACGTGTAAATAACTTTAGAAATGGCATTTGGAAAGAAAATCTTATGTAACAATCTTAAATAAAAACTAATATTAAATTGCAAATAGGAATGACAACTATTAAAAATTGTCTAGTACAAGAAATGAAACAGATGTTTTATTATAATCATTTTCAATATTCTAATCAAAAGATGAAGGAGGAAGGAAGTAGAAGGAGGGAAAAGATCCAAGAACCAAGTATGGTTTTACTTACTGACCTTGAATCTTTGCTTTGCTTTTATTATGATGCAATCTTACCTTAACATTTCTATAATTTTTAAGTTTATTCTTGAGGTATTGTGACTTGAATACAATAAGCCAACCCAGTCAAACATATGCAACTAGAACACACAGAGATGCCCTAAGCACGTGCATCTTCAAAGAGCTCTAGAGTGCAACCTTGGTTAAGAACCACTGACTCAGAGGAACCAAAACGTATTCGTTAGAATCAATGACTCTTTTCTTTTGAAAAGTAGAGTTTGGATGCTTACGCTCCCACAATGCTGACACTCCCTTCTCTCTCAGGATTTCCAAGACATTTCACCCTGCCTGCTCGCTCATAAAAAGAGGCCAGACGGGCACCAAGATATGCAGGATATCCACTATCTGAAAAATGAAACGAAATTTAAAGAAAGGTTCAAAGCCAGCCCCCCAAATCATACCTGTTTTGCTTATAAGCCAATACAGTGACTTACCTGCAGGCATTTCAGCTAAGCGACCAGAGATTTCTCTAAGGGCCTCAGCCCATCTGGAGGTAGAGTCAGCCATCATACTGACATGATAGCCCATGTCACGGAAATATTCCGACAGCGTGATTCCTAAAGGGAAAGAATATTAAAAGTTATAATCCTAGATTGTATAATCCCATCCTGACTTTTTCACCCTTAAGTTTAAGAAAAGTTTAAAGCAATAGGTACATGAGGTAGACTGATAGCTGTTTATCAAATTCTGATCTTCTTCTGGCACACTAATGAACTTGCATTCCCTAGCCTTCTTTGCATTTAGATACGGCCATGTAACTCTAGCTAATGGCAGAGTAATGGCAGAGCTTTTGTCAGCCTAGGCCCCATCCCAGAATGATGCAGTAAAGAACAGCCCCCTGACCACTGAGTGTTAAATGAGCAAGAAATAAACATCTATTATGGAGAGCAAGTATATGCTTAGGTTTATTCTGGCCATGGACTAGGCTACCCTAATAGAATACACATTTTAAAAGGCCAGGGAAAACTTTCCCTCCATTCTTTGTGTAAATGATTAAGTTTGAAATTCATTTCCAAATGTAGCTATATATCATATCTTTTTTGTACCAAAAATAAACAAATTTAAAAAACCCTTAACTAATTAATCTGTTATTTCATCAAAAGTAACATGTTATCAACATGAGCAACACCCTCAATTATCCAGACTATTCTGCTCTGCAAATCAGGTCCGATCCAGCAAAGGCGTAATACAGGAAATCATCTAAAGGTGGCTAGTATACAGAAAGAAGCCCTGGGTTCTAGTTCTAGTTTTGTCATTAACTAGCTATGGGACCTTGACTTCCCAGTGTGGCTTCCTAATCTGTTAAAACGGAATGACACATATCAGATGAAATGATACGTGTTCTACGCAACTCTAAGAAGTCCTGGAATCTAATGTCCTCGTACTTTTATTTTACCAATAAAGAAACAGCAGCATAGCTAAGTAAAATAAAATAGTTGCTGGAAAATTCAGCATGTTACATCATTCAGAATAAAAAATACTAAATTCTGCAGCTTCCATAAAGCAGTCCTATGAACAAAATCTTAAGAAACATCACTTATCATTATTAAGGCTTGAAAAACAGGATAATCATCACATTTTCAAATCTGATAAAACAGCTCCTCCTTTCTACATGCATGGCTGTGTTTTAAGTCCCTGTGTTGACATGTCATTAATACTGTGTATGTATACCAGAAAGACTGGCTGGAAGAGACAAGGGACAAACACACAAGGATAAACCTCAAAAAGCTCCATTCATATACCTGAAGAGGTCAGCGCCTCCAACACAAAACCAAAAAACACCTCAGACAAAAGCCAAAGACAAACAAACTGGGAAAACTTACTTGCAACTCATGACAGATAAAGGACTAACTTCCTTAATAACCAGAGAGCTTTCACAAATCAATATGAGAAACAACTACCGTTTAAAAGGAAAACGGACAGAAGACAGTTTTCAAATAATCAATAAGCACAGGAAAGATGCCAGCTTATTGTTAAGAAATACAGGTGTCTAACAAAGCATGCATAGTAAAATGCTAATTGTCAAATCTAGGTGCTGGGTATATGGGAGTTCCACCTTTCTATATGTGTGATAACTGTAAGAAAATGTTGAAAAGCCTGGCATTGGTGAGAATGTGCAGAAACAGACCCTTATCCACTGTTATCCGTTTTGAAGAGCTAGCAGAATTTAACATTTGAATTCCAGTTGTACTCTCAGCACTTTTACTCCTAAGAACCTACCCTATAGAGATGTGCAAAGAAACAAGTGCATAAAAGCAAAAAGTGAACAGTGTAAAGAAACATGTACAAGGATATTCACTGTTGCATGGTCTGTGACAGCAAAAATTATAAATAATCCAAATGTCCATGAATAAGATGATGGCTAAACAGATCATGATACATCCTTACAAAGTGATACTATGTGGCCATTTAAAAGAATGAGACAGACGTCTGTCTTAAAATGGTAAACGAATATATCAGTTCCTCCTTGTCCTCCTAAGAGTTACTACAAAACAAGGAGAACAAGAAATATAGAAACACAAACTATCATCAAAAGCAGCTGTTGTCAGTTGTCCTCAAGTCAGTTCTAACTCATGGTGACCCACGTATGCAGAGTAGAACTGCTCCATAGGGTTTTCAAGGCTGTGACCGTTCAGAAGCAGAAAACGAGGCCTGTCTTCCAAGGAGCCTCTGGGTGGGTCTGAATTGCCAACCTTTTGGCTAGCAGTCAAGTGCTTAACCGTTTGTGACACCCAGGGACCATCAAAAGCTAGAAGACATGTTTAATTCCACAACAAAATAATAAAGAAAGCCACCAAATGAGGTAAAAATCAAACTAGGGTACGGAAAAACACTAAGAAGTCACCTGAGGCTGTAGATCTCAGACGAGGAGGGCGCAGGCTGAGAGGCAAAACCAAGAATCCTTTGTCTGGGACATTGTAAAAAGGGGTTATGGCTAGTGGCAAGAGTTTCTTGGACCCGGTTTAGCACCAAGGAGAGGCAGGGAGGTGGAAACGAACATGAAACACGCAAATACTCCTATTTTCAGTAAGTAAGTGGTAGGTGAGGCAGGGTGGAAGAGAAAGAATTCATTGTGAGAGACTTGCAGTTGCTGATTTCTGTTGGCAGAAAAGACGCAAACAGTAAAATAACTTACACGACTCCGTGCTGTAACAAACGTCACAGGATACCACGAAGAATTCCTGCTGCCGTGGACCACAGCCATAGCCACCCCCTCCCTCTCCTACAGGGATGAATAACGGTAATAAACACCAGAACAGGAACTAAACAAAGACACCACAAGAAAAAAGAAGGGGAAACTACAATGATGGTCAAAGAACCTTCCTGAGGAACAGATGTAAACTAACCACAGGACATTTAACTAAAAAAAAAATAATGCAGTTCCCTCAAAAAATAAAATTTTAAGGAATATATAGCACAGTAAGAGGAGAGGCTGCATAAGCCAGCAGAATTCAGCAAGGAGCTGGAAGAAAAATAAAACCATAACAGAAATGAAGGTTTCATCAGAAGCAGCACGAAGAATAAACAGTCTATCCTGTGAACGAATGGAGAAAAGCTAAATAGCAAGTATCAGAGAGGAAATGATATATATTCGAAGACAGATAAAGGAGATCCAACACGTCTGTTTGTTATGCTTGAAGAAGATAAAACAGAAAACTGTCAGGTAAAATTCTAGAAAAATTTCCAGAATAAAAGACGTATTCATAGAATGAAAGGGCACTATGTGTCAGAAAAAGTTATCAAAACTATCAATTCTGAGATACAGCTTTCAAACCTAAAAATGAAACCCCTTGGGACATTTGGGCAAAAAGAAAAAATGTCTTATAAAAGGAAAAAAAATCATTTAATGCTAAAATATAGTGAAGTAAAACCTATAAGAGTTCTTAAGGAAATTAATAATCCAGGAATTTTATATTCAAACAAACTACTGTTAAAGTTTAAAGGCGGTAGAAAGAAAAAAGTTTATGAAAAAACAAGTGTTCACAGAAAATAGTTTCCATGAGCCTTTACTGAAAAACCTTCCAGAAGTCAGGTCCCAGCCAACCAAGAAACAAAAGAAGCCAGAGGACCCCCCGTAGGCACAAGCCTCACAGCCTGCAGACTGAGACCAACACTGAGGTTCTGGCTACAGAACAGGACACAAGTATTACCAAGCGGAAAATGCAGAAATAAAAGTACTAAAAGTTGGGATGAAAGCGGGAGCAGAGATGGACGGTAATATATAAATAAACTGATTTCCTAATGTTTTATATCCAGCAGTCAAAATATTGTAACTCAAAGCTGGTAATACAAGTTATAGAGGTACAGGTATATTTCAAGATAGATCAGTGGCAAAAGACATAGCGAGAAAAAAAAGGTGGTAGAAAATATATCATTTGATAGTTATTAAAAAGATTGGGAAACTTCTACAACAACAGAAAGAGAAACCCCCCAATCAAAAATGGGCAGAGAACTTACAGACACTTCACCAAAGAGGATGGTCAAACGGCCAACAAGCACATGAAAAGATGCTCCACCTCATTACCCACTGTTGTGGTCAGGTGTCCTCGGGTCGATTTTGACTCATAGCGATCCCACGTGACTGAGCAGAACTGCCCCCATAGGGTTTTCTAGGCTGTAATCTTTATGGAAGGAGCCCTGGTGGTGCAGTGGTTAAACAGCTTGGCTGCTAACCAGAAGGTTGGCGGTTGGAGCCCACCAGCTGTTTCCTGGGAGAAAGATGTGGCAGTCAGCTTCCATAAAGATTTACAGCCTTGGAAACCCTATGGGGTGGTTCTACTCTATTCTATAAGGTTGCTATGAGTCAAAATCGACTTATCGGCAATGGGCTTGGCTTAGTTTTTTTTTCTAATTTCTATGGGAGCAGATTGCCAGGTCTTTGTCCAGCAGAGTGGCTAGGTGGGTTTAAACCACCAACTGTTTGGTTAGCAGCAAAGCACTTAACTGTTGCCTACCAGGACTCTTTCACTAGCCATTAAAAACCAAACTCATTGCTGTCAAGTCCAGGGCTCCTTCTTCATTAGCCATTAAGGAAATACAAAGGAAAACTTCAATGAGATACCACCTCACCCCATTAGAATAGCAATGATAAAATTAAAAAAAAGGAAAACAACAAGTGTTGGTGAGGTGGTGGAGAAACTGGAACCCTCATCCATTGCTGGTGGGAAAGTAAAATGGTGCGGTCACTGTGGAAAACAGTTTCGGGATTCCTCAAAAAGTTGAACACAGAACTACCACATAACCCAGCAATTCCAATTTTAGGTATATACTCAGAAGAAATGAAGGCAGGAATGCAAACAGAAACCTATACATCAATGTTCATTGTAACACATTTCACAATAGCCAAAAGGTGGAAGCAACAGAAATATCCATCAATAGATGAATGGACAAACAAAATGTGGTACGTACACACAATGGAATACCACTCGGCCATAATGCATGTCACAACATGGATGAATGCTGAAAACTTCAGGCTGAGCAAAATAAAGTCAACCACAAAACCCAAATATATAATCTCACCTATGTGAAATAAGCAAATACATAGAGATAAAAGATTATTAGTGGTTACAAGGAGTGGAAAGGAGGGGAAAAGGTGTACTTTTTGCTTAGGGGGTATTGAGTTTATGTTAATATTGAGTTATGTTAATAGTGGTGGAATGACTTGGAAAGGGATAGTCTGAGAATGGTTGCACTGCTTGAACAACGAAATCAATGTTACCGAATTGCACCTGTAGAAACTGATGAACTGGCATATGTTTTGTTATGTATATTTAAACCACAATAAAATTAAAAAAATATTGGGGGCTCCATAAATGTCTTTTATTGACTTATGCTCAAGACATATAAGTAAAAAAATTTAAACTACTTTTAAATTAAAAAATAAACTACTTTTTTTTTGCTTTTAAAATTTTTCTCTTTTTTTATTGTTGTAATTAAATGAAGTTTACATTTCAAGTTAGTCTCCCATATAAAATTTTTATACATACATTGTTATGAGACCCTAATTGCTCACCCCATTCTGCAACAGTACACTCCTCCTTTCCACCCCTGATTCCCCATGACCATTCAACTATCTCCTAACCCTCTCTGCCTTCCCATCTCACCTGTGGACAGAAGCTGCCCCTTTAGTCTCTTGTATCTACTTGACTAAGAGGCACACTCTTTATGAGTATCACTTTATGTCCCACAGTCCAATCCAATCCCTGTCTGAAGAGTTGGCCTTGGAAATTGTTTTAGTTCTGGGCTGATAGAGAGTCCAGGGG